GCCTGAATTTCATAATGAGACCCTGTCTAAAAGAGAAAATCTGTATATAGATATATATAAAGATCTACAGATATGGTTATCATTTATAATTTTAAACTTGTGTTCAAAGGTAACAGTATTATTATTCAAACAAACCATAAAATTTATTCAGTCTAAATTATAAAATTATTTAAATAAACCAATAATTTACAGGTCCATATTTTGTTCTATAGACAGTTCACCCAAATTTTCAAAATTGATATGTTCTTTCCTCCCCTGTCATGTGGTCTAATGTCTTCCACCTCCAATCCTGCCTCCAAGGAAGAGCAGGACACATAATCTCTTTACTGTTCCCTGTGGGCGAGCACAAAGAATCGCCATCCTGTCACTAGCAAGTTATAAAGTGGTTGCTAGAAGAAGGGAAATGATATAATTATCTTTTAATTAAAAAAATCAATCATAAAAAATAAAATAAAGAAAGAAACTGCTAAAGAATGCTTTTCCCTCAAGGATAAGCTGTAGAGGGACTACTTCTTCCTCATAAGTGTTCATGGCTTGTGAAAGCCATGGGATTAAAACTAACCCTGAGCCATGGCCAACAGCGAAAGCCTAAGCAGAAAAAGCTGAGAGCCCTGAGACTCCATCCTCCGATTCTTCAAGTGTGAGAGGTTACATCTAATGAAATACACTGTAGACTAAATCTGCCAAAAGATCGAGTCTGTAGAAAGAATCAAATTATGACAGCTTAGTGTTGCCACTTTGAAAAGACCTTGGGAATTCCTACGTTGTTTGCTCAACAAAAATATGCTCCTTATCTAGAAATGCACTCAGCCTCCTGGCCACGTCGAGCAGGGCATCGAGTGAGATTTCTGGGCAGTGATGAGGGCCTGTCAAGCCCTTTACTTCCTTTTCCGCCTCTGTGTCACTTTGATACTTCCATGACAAAAACCCACAAAGGCCCCTTCCTTGAAATTTAAGAGGATGCACGCTCTCTCTTTGTGGTGTTCTTTGTCCCTGCCTGTTCCCTTTTGTACCTTAGGTGGGATCAAGTCACATTCCAAACATTCCATTTTCCCATTAAGCGTATTGTGCGGCTGTCACAGACACAACTTCTTCCTGAGAGACACTCCAGTTTCCATCATCTCTTGAAATCGCTTTAGACGACTCAGTGGGCAAGCACGAAGACGCGAGCTTTGAGCACAAAACCCTCATAAAGAGTCAGGCTTGGCCATATGCGCTCCTGCAATCCTAGCACTGTGCAGACAAGACAGGAGAATCCTTGGGATGTGCTGGCTCCAGGCCTAGCTTATGATTCAATGTGAGATCCTGCCACAAAGGAATAAGAAGACGAGCAATATCATAGGATGCCCAACTTCCTCCGCTGGACTCAGCGAGCTTGCTTATAGAGGCACAAAGACCCATAGGCACATCCACATTCATGCACACACACCACACTCACATATATATGTATGCATGAGTACACACACACACACACACAAAGATTTAAGTGGCTTTAAACTCAAAAGTATATCAATTCCACCCAATGTTCTATGTTCTCCCATAAAGAAAAGCCAAGTCATTAGTCCAATATGCCACACCAACAAACCATGAGCTGTAGCACGGCGTGGCTGGCAGAGAACTTAGCAGAACCATTTTATTAGGCTTCTCCTCAGCAGGGAAGAGCAAAGGGCCTCACAGATGCAAAACTAATGGCCATTGAACAAAGAGGGTAAGACCAGCTTTCCTTCCCAATCAAGAGCCGCTGGTCCCTGGGGTCGGAATCTGTCTCATATCCACTGGTCAGCGTGTTCTACCTGGCTGAGTTTAATTTGTTATTTATGCCAGCTTTGCATATTTGTAAGGTTCAAGGGTTTATTGCCCTGGCCTGACCTTGGCAAGTCGGAGTTAACATGTGGCTCTCAAGTAGCAGTTTCTTTCCAATAAACGTTACTTGAAAGAACACGTGTGATAGATTTTGCCGGTGATTAGAAAGAACATTGCCTCGTCCATCGTTCTTCAGTTTGGTTTTGAAGTCCCATGGAGCGCCACCTCTGGACTTAAAAAAAAAAACCCAAAATATTGTTCTCTTTTAAAATTCACTGAAGTCCTTTTCTGTACACTGAGCTGTAGAGTGTTGCTATATTTTCAACTTTCTGCAACGGCCCCTTTAGCCTGTTAAGCCGAGCTAACCAATCTGTCTCTTGATGGCTCCTGACATTCAGTAAACAGCTTACTTAGGGATGTGAGGATTATTGAAGTCTGCATTGCAATCTCTAGCGTAAAAAAAATCTAAGAAATGACTCAGTGAGCTTAGTTCTGCCAACAGCAGGCAAAGATTAGTCAGCACGGCTAATGGAACTTTGCCTTCACATGGAAGAATTCCTATCGCCACAGGAAGGAGCGTCCTCCAAGATGGGACATATTCCATCAGTGACAACCTGTCCATGTTTTGCAGATTAAAATCCAAGCTTCCACAGACGAGAATTTGATTTCTGGAGGCTATGCTCCTACCTAGTGACGTGATTTGTCATGGTCTGTCTGGAACTTTCTTTTCTGACATTGAAGTTCCTGTGTTCCAGGAATGGAGTCAAGTGAACCAAGATGATCAGTTGACCTAAAGTCTCCCAGGAGAGGATTCCAACTCCCTTTTCTTCAGGTAGATCTAGACACCTATACAACATAAATGCAACCTTGAAGACCTGAGAGACAGAGATGGTAATTGAAATCTAAAGAAACTCATTGGTCTGTTCACTGGAGTACAAATAGATACCACTTCACCTTCACTGTTTGGGCAGCTGCCAACATGAACCTGGTCATTTCTGTTCATTTCAGAGTTATGAAATAAGTATTAATAATAGCACCTTTGATATGTAAGTTTCTTTCCCAGTTTTTGTTATTTTTTTTCTTTTCCAATGCTTTTATGCTTTGCTTTTGTTTGTTTTTGAAGACAGTATCTCTGTGTAGTCCTGGATGTTCTGGAACGCTCTCTGTAGAGCAGAATGGCCTTGAACTCAGAGAGCTTGCCTCTGCCTCTGGAGTGCACCATCACCACCCTGCATTTGCTCTAGTTTTTAACTTCAAATCCCTGGGACCACAGCAGAATGTTCATTGTATCCTCAGTAAAATCTGGAGAACAGTGGTCAGACTTGTCTGGACAATAAGAGAATATGGATGACAGAGCCCCTGAATGGTAGGGCTATTGGTGCATCAGCCTTATTCTCCAGGAAGCCTGAACAGAAGCCAGCACACAACCCTAGAGACACGTGTCCTTGCAAACTCCTTTGCTTCCTCAGATTGCCAGTTTTTGGACATGTGAGGATGTATCGTGACATATTACATCTTGCCATCTTAAAATAAGAGTAGAATTTATGGCTTCTGGAGCCAGGTGTGTTGGCACACACTTTTAATCCCAGCACTTGGGAAACAGAGGCAGGTGGATCTGTGAGTTCCAGGCCAACCTGGTCTACAAAAAGAGTTCCAGGACAGCCAGGCCTACACAGAGGGAAAAAAAAAAAAACAACCCAAAAGACAGCAAAACAAAACAAAAAAGACAAACAAACAAAAAAGAAACCAAACAAAACAAAGTAAACAAAACAAACAAAAAAGAAACCAAACAAACAAAATTATGATTTCTGTATCACAAAACAAACCAAATCACATCAGATCTAAATGAAATGAGGCAGGAATTAAGAAGAAAAGTTTTAAGATAGTTAGGACATGAACATGATAAATAATCTAGTTTAAAAATATTCCTGTCATATTACCCTGTTTTTTCTATCTATCTCCACAACTATGGGCAGTACCTAAGAACAGAATAGGTAGCAGGTTGGGTTGTGAGAAAAGGCTATTATTATCCAATGGATTGGTGTTTTAAATCCCTAAAAAATTCTGCAGGTGTTTCCAAGACAGTTGGCCCCCCCCCCCCCCGCCGAGAGAATTTCCGATGATATGGGGGCAGCCATGCTTCAACAGGAGGGCTGAGTACGGTGCCTCAACAATTCAAACACATATGATGTCCCTGTGTTTCTTCTCTTCTTGCATCGCCTATGTCTGTAGGTCCAATCCAAGAGCCCTCAAAATGTATTTCTTTAACAGAGCCTTCCACCCCAGCCGTGTGCATCTGTGCGTGCACAGGCCTCCAGGCACTTGTGCGTGTAGAAGAGGTGGGGTGACCATGGTGGGGACATCAAGAGCTGAATGTGAATTGGGCCATAAGTGCATTATTGAGGGTTTATATCTTTCTTTGAAGTATACAGCATTAGCCACTGTCAGAGAGAGGACACCAAGCCAGACAGTAATTGCAATAATGGAACAGACAAATGGTCTATGTCCCCATTAAAGTCATCAACACCTCTAATTTTTGAAAGGGGCTTGTTTGAAATACAGTAATTGTGATTATGTTGTCCATAAAGGCTATGGGCGATCAGAAGTTGTCAGCATGCCCAGCGCCTTTCCACAGCCTTCTGGACAGAGCTAACAAAACCGGAATGCTAACGCACAATTTATTTCTGAACCACCTTAGGAAAAGGGTGTTTTATAATGCTTAAAAGTTGAATGTGGCATCATGTAACACTTTCCATTGTAATATTCTCTCTCTCTCTCTCTCTCTCTCTCTCTCTCTCTCTTCAGATCCATGACACACAGCATTTATCACAAACCAAAGAGTATTGGTGCATCATCCCAATGCAAGCCAAACTTTTGCATAATTACACCTCCTCCCATTCTCTGCTTTTTTGCAAATACAGTCACAGACACATGCACACACTTCTGTTTCCCTTGTAAAGGCATCTTCTTTCTCCTCCCTTGGAGCTTTATAATTGGGTTTCAATAAAGTCATAAGCAGAAAACAACTGATAAGATCCATAGCATTTGTGTAGGGGATTTCTCACAGTTGAATGTTGAAAGGAAGTCAGATTCTGTGACAATTCTTGGCAATATTTCTCAGGACCCCGAGAGCCCAGTTCTTGTGATAAGCATGCTTATTTTCCTGGAGACAAAATGACCACGAAATCTCCACTCACCTCAGAGGCCAGTGGGCACTGAGAACAGACCACTAGGAATCGACAGGTAGTGGATGCTGTGAATTCTTGGTATGAAGGACCGGAGCATCACAGCAGAAGAGACATCTAGGTATACATACAAAAAATAGAATAATTGGAAGGATTATCAGCTTACTCTGCATTCTCTTGCTTCTAAGCATTGAGCCCTTAATCTAAAAATAACTACTTAAACCCCACACCACCTCTTAGAAAAAAAATCGCATTACTGAAAAGAACCTTTCCTCTCTGTTCTCCTGGTCTGCCCCAGTTCAATACTCTTCCTTTCCCATTTTGTCTTTAACAAGATCCCAGGCCAGTGGGGCCTGTATGCAGTGACATTTATGGACTAACATTTTACTATTTAATTATTCTCCACATCTTCTGAGGTTCTTCTCCATTCTGGCAAAGCGGCTTTTCTGATCGAGAGTAAATATATAAAAGCCTCCTGTTAAAACACTTAGCAGGCCTTCTCTGTCAAGGCTGTGAACTAGTGTCCACTCCGTTTGGAGGCCTCTCCTCCTCGGCCTCCGCCTTTGTTTAAAATATGCTGACCACACAGTGACCTCTCCTAACCCATCGGTCGAAAATTACAACCAGCCACACAAACAAGCAGCTGGGGTCAGAAGGAGCAGGGTCTGCTAAAAGTTAGTAATCATACATTAATTCCCTGGCATAATTAATCAAAATGAACCACCGTTATCTAGCAAGAAACCTTTACCCTATTACAAAGGGGTCAATTTGCGAACCACTTGAGCCTGGGAGTTTGGTACAAATAGCATACACCCTTCATCCGGGATGCCCTAAGTAGGGAAAAATGTCTTTGAAGTCCCAAATCTACTAGATTTAGATATAATTTCATCAATCAAGTTAAAAGCCTGCCTCCCTCCAGAAGGATTCCATGCAGCGGCTCCGCTGAGTGGTGACTGAAACCCATTTGTAAGGTTTTTTCAATCACAAGTCAACGAGAGTGGGGCTGACCTGACAAAGGAGCCAAGAGTTTATCGAACTGAAGAGGAAGGGGAGAGATTTGTGGAGGGACCCGTTTCCCAATTGCAGGGGCAGCCATAAATTGGCTGTGGGCTGTGCACATAAGGGGTGTGTGCCTTCATTTTCAAGATGAAGCCTGCCAGGTGTTTAGCATAGAGATTTACATGGTACAGGCAGGAAGTCTGGGGGAGAAAAATAGAAAAACAGAAGAATGAGAGCAGTTAAGCTCCAGTGTGCAAAAGAATGGTGTGTGTGTGTGTGTTTGTGTGTGTGTGTGTGCGCGTGCGCGTGCATATGTGCTTGCGTGCATGTGTGTATGTGTGTGTGTGTTCGTTCGTATTTGTGCGCACGCGTGTATGTTTGTGTTTGTACATTGGAAACACTGTGGAAACAATGGAGAGGAATAGACCTAAATATCTAATTGCAGGAGTTATAAAGTATCATTTGAACAGCACGCTTCTCACCAATTACTTCTGATATCTCCAGAGACTGAAGGAGCTCCCAAGGCTCATCCCTCCCGTATTATTTCCATTGGTCACATAACAACATTAATGTACTGAGAAAGCAATTTTTATGAAAATTTTAAAAACCAAGAACACTGGTAAGCATCCTTCGTGGTTTGAAAAGATGGAACATATTTTCTGAGGTTCACAGATTTCCTGGGAAAACGGTGTGACCAACTTCTGAATTAAAGTTCAGGAAGATGCTGGCTTTGGCCACAGCCACCTAGGGAATGGATCCCAATAGAATGACTGTAACTTATTATTGCCCCTTCAATCCTGGACTAAAAATTCTATCCACTACACACGGATTTTCAAATTGTTACTCGGTACAACTTTTCCCTTGGTTTTTAATAAAACACCAATCGATAGGAGGCATCTTAGTACAACTGCCATTTCTATAGAACCCAGACACTTGTTGAGAAATTCTTCAGTATTAGGAGAATAGTCACAGATATCTATAGATGTGGAAACTTAATCTGTGTTGGTTTTGTTCAAGACAGTATGTACTTGACAGAACCTACAATTCCCAGAGAAAAGAGAAAAACCACTGGGCGTGTTCTCAGGGACGCTCAAAGCTTGGTTAGCTACAGTCAGAAAAATCTACCCTAAACATGGTCGTTCTTGCCATGGGCTGAGCTTCCAGACTGAATCAAAAGGAAACAGGAAGAGCAAGCATATATCTCTGCTTCATTCCTGACTGTGGATACCATGGAAGCACTTACCTAATTATTCTTTATCAGTAAAAAATAAATAATCCGGAGTCAGATATTGGGGTAGAAACCTGAAAGATCAGAGAAGCAGCAGAGCGGAGGGGCCACCAGTGACCCCCCCCCATCTCAGTCCACTCCTCCATCCAAAAGAGTGGAGATTCTCTCCCAGGCCATAAAATTATTTTCATTGCTACTTCATAACTGTATTTTTTCTACTGTTATGAATCATCGTGTTTTATGAGCTTTACATACTGTTTTCCCCAAACTGTTTTCTGGTGGTCTTAGGTGACCCCTATGAAAGGGTCACTCAAAACCCCCCACCTCAGCAAAGGATCAAGACCCACAGGTTGAGAACCACTGGCCTAAAGCCTTCACAAAAAATGGGACTCATGACTGTGTACCACAGTTTTTTTTTTTTCTCTAGGCCCAGTATTTATAAATAGTTACCCATGTTCCTGGTACCTGGTACCATGCCTGGGGACCCGGGTAATTGAATGAAGAACTCTGAGATGAAGTTTGTTTATTAGTGCTCGTGGGTTTGATGAAGAAAGACCTCTGATGATTCTAGTCGTGTCTGTGACCTGCCACCAGGCAGCAAGGACACTAGCTCCTATCCTCTGGCCCCTCCAGAAGGTTTTCAACTTTAACAGAGGGAGCCACTCCTGGGAAGAAGGCCAACTCCAAATCCCAAACAGCCCTCCATCCTAGGCCGGCAAGCAGCCATGAAAACAAAGTCAACTGATACCAAGTAATGGACACAGGCTGGGCGGACGAAAGATGGTCATACTTAGTCATGAGTTTCATCCTGTGCAGAGAAAAACCAGAGGAAAATCACAACTGTCCCATTGTAGGCAACAGTCTACTACTAGGTACAAAACACAAGAATGTGAAGTTAGATTTCCTCTTCCAGATGAGTTTTCTGATAAATTAAAACCATGCTATCTCCATCCAGTACAAACTGATGGCCAGGTTTGTAATAGGAGAGGATTTATAGGCAAGACTTTTGTTTTACAGCCCCCCACACAGAGACTCCTGCGTTTTTCTGTTGTCTGAGGGAGAACGTCTTGAAGTCGAGGAACAGGTAGCAAGGATTCATAAACAAGAATAGCACACGGACTCACGATCCTCTCTGGATGACCTTTCTATATAGTTGTCCCGAGCTCCACAAGGAGGAAAACTTATGGCCACTTCCCATTCTGACTTTGGAATATCCCACAAGTGCATAGGCCTCTACTTTCCTTTTTTACCTTCCCTTCCCCTGGGGCCCAGGTTTTAGCTAGCGCTGAGCTCCCTTCCATGGCGGATGAGGATGACCAGTCTCTAAATCCACCTTTCCTGAGTTGACTTATGAAGCTATGGTCCCCGTAAGTGGCAAGCCCATCCTACTTTGGAGAGTTAGAGACATTGGATAATGGTGATCCACTAGCCATGTTGGTCTTTGAAGTCACAAAGCCACTTTGCTCCCAACATATATTGCAAAGAATAGGCTGAGCAGTAGCGTGGGGCTTCCACAAAGTTGTCCAAACACTAGGATTCCAAATGGTTCAGACTTATCCTGCCAGCTGTATGATAAGAGAGGCAACTGAAATCTTGCGGCCTGAAGGAGGATTCAGTCTTGTTCATATCAGGAACTTTCTAAGACTACAGGGGGAGGACTTGATTATTAATAGTCTGCACGAGCTTCACATCTTGAGACACACTCCCTACTGCACACTGGATATGTAAGGAAGGAAAAAAATCTACAAGGAAACTCGAAAATTACTACTATTCTCAAGGAAGATACAAATCTAGGCCAAAAAGGCTACTTATTACAGCCAGCTCATTGGAGCCCTTCTAAAAATTCCTCATCTCGTGTTCACCCTTAACAAGGAGTAAGGGAATTACATTAACTTCAATTTGTATCTGCTCCCGTCTCCCACTGAAGCACTTTATTTTATTTTTTAAATAACAATCTGGGGTATTTATTTTACAAAATCATTAAAATCAAATGAATGAAACTTGCTGCTAATTGTGAAACCCTTTGTGTATACCATTTGGAGGATTCTTAGTCCAAAAAGAACTGAGGCAGGCTTCTCTTTAAAAACAGTACTGACAGAACCTTGCTGATGCACGCCAAGGATCAATGCCTTCTAGAGGCAACGGTTGGGGGATTCCTAAAGAGTCCCACACTAGCTCTTGGGGCTCTCCAACCATGCCTCTTCCCCTTGAAGGAGAGATTGTTAAGTTCTTTCTGCATTCCAAACAGCTTGGTGCTCTCCACTAGCTCACCACCTACATACCCTTGTACCTTGAGCTTCAAGGTACAAGGTTTGCCATCTGCAAAATGGGGGCAGCAAGTTCAGTTTGGCCATCTTTTGAAGACTAAAGGGCTTGAGTTTGTGTCTAACAGGTGGAGGCCATTACGCGATCCTTTGAAGCTTTACCCACCACAATTGCAGTACTTTTCAGTTCTCTGAGTTGAATTCAAGTTCTTACTCTCCTGGGCTACATCATCTTGTTCTAACTGTTCGCAGATGAGGAATTTGGATTTAAAGTGAAGCCACAGTACCCAATGGGACTTCTTTCTAGCAGAAATTGGCTCCAGTTATTAAAAAAAAAAAAATCTCCCTTCCCGCCCAGGGCAGCTTTACCCAGGCAAGATTGTATGACACCCCAGGGTGTCCCAAGTGATCTCCAGAGATAGTGGAGAATTCTCAAATTATTCTTTAGGAAAAAAAAAAAGAGATTTTAGAACAATTCATTTGGGTCTTAGAATTATTATGTATTCTACAGGGACGCGACTCTTTGGTAAGGTATTATGGAATAATTTGGTATTATGGATTATGAAAAATAGGGTGTCAAAAATCTCCAAAGACGGGAGTCCCTAGAGTTTTGATGGGCTTTCTTGGTTTGTCATTGAAATTACTTCCTCACTGTTCGGTGTGGTATATCAAAAAGAGGGTGGAAGAAGCATAAAACACCACACACACACACACACACACACACACACACACAAAAAAAAAAACCAAGAACTCCTGTCATGTCTATGCATAATTGAAAAGACAGAAACCCTCTTTTTTTTCCCATTTAAGGCTGTGGTCATTAGGGAGCAAGTGGAAAGGATCCAATGTATCAGATCAGTTCCTTCCTTCTCTTTCCTGCCCAGGACCTACTTCAGCTTTCTTCTTGTAGTTCACCCACAAATAGCTCAAGCCTATTTACCAATGTCTAACAGGATTACAGCCTAGACGGTGACTTAGCTTCTCTCTGTGGATGCCCAGTCCCT